CAAAATTAGGCCGGAGAATGGCTGAGTTTCCTTTGGACCCAATGTTATCTAAATCGATTATTTGGTCTGAGAAATACCATTGTTCGGAAGAAGTAAGTTTTATCTTATTCTATTTATCAATTATAAACTTAATTGGACTAATATTTATTCCTTTATTAGGTATTATCTATTATAAGTATGCTGACTGTACAAGGCTCGGTATTTTATCGTCCCAAAGACAAAAAATTTCACGCCGATAAAGCTCGACAAAATTTTATTAGACCTGGTGGTGATCATTTTACTCTCCTTAATGTTTGGGAACAAGTAATCATTTACCTCTTTTTCTTTGCGCTCATTATTTATTATATTTTTGTATTGTGTTTAAATGCTTTCCCTTTTTTTATTAGTGGTTAGAAACCAGCTATTCTATGAATTGGTGTTATGAAAATTTTATAGTTTATAGGTCAATGGTACGTGCGCGTGATGTACGCGACCAGCTTGTCGGATTGTGCGAGCGTACTGAAGTGGAGTTAGAATCAAATCCAAATCCAGCTGACATAACACCAATTCAAAAGGTTAGTTTACTAAATAGTCAAACAATTTTTCGTATATTCCCTATTTTTCAGGTATTGATTTTATCAAAATAGGCCATTGTTGCTGGTTTCTTTATGAATGCCGCAAGGATATCTCGTTTTGGTGAGTCCTATCAAAAAGTAAAATTCGGAGATCCAAGTCGCACAGTACATATTCATCCCAGTAGTGGATTGTTCAAGGCTGATCCGAAATGGGTAATATATTTTGAATTGGTCTTAACTAGTCAAGAGTATATGCGTCAAGTTATGGAAATACAACCTGAATGGTTGCTAGAAGGTATGTTTCTTAATTTTCCTATAAGATAAATAAATATATTTATTTCATTTTATTTATTTTGTTTGGTTTGTTTTATTTGTAGCTGCGCCTTATTATTATGAAAAGGAAGAAATTGAAAAAATTGGAAGGAAAAAGGAAGATGCCAAAAACTTTGCAAACACAATGAATACTCCGTTTACTTGCAGATTATTGAGAATAGAACAATAACAGTAATAATTTTGAAGTTTGCGTGTTATATCACATTTTATTTGATTTGATTATTTAAATATATTTGTTATTCAATTCGTGCT